TGATTTTTATATTAACCACTGACATTAAACATTGAGCTGCCTTCTGTTCAGATGTATAAGTCGTACAGGCCTGAACAGGGTAGCAGACAAATAAAATAACTCCATAACATGTACAGGTAATTCTTATTCAAAATTATAGGGCTACATGAACAGAATGCACTTTAATACTTAAATTTATTTATTCCACTGTTTTGGACAATAACAAGATATTGGAATTACTTTAAAATTTATCCTTCAAATGTAAGGTAGATTTTCAATTAATGGAACATCAAAACAGTTATCTACGATATTCTGACTCATGACATCACGATTGTAATGACGTCATGATCACATGCCAGAGTTTAGGATGTCATAAATTACAATTGATTAGGTGTATATTGTAACAATGTAGATCAAATGTACATTTCTAGCAGCAAACTTACCTGGTAGTTTGGCTTTAAAAACTTGACCTAACAACAAAAACTTACCTTAACAACATAAATATTTTACTGTTGGTTAAGTAGTTTATTTTTTGTTTAGTGAACCATGACATGATCCACATTATAGAAGTGTAACAGATGAGGAAAAATGCACGGGCAGACGGGGGTTCGAACCCCGTACCCTCCGAACTGTAGACGGACGCTCTACCAATTGAGCTACCTGGTCGCCAACGATCGACCCGTTCCAGTGACGCTACAGTAGCGTTATTACCTTTGTAATTGATGTAGACAAGGTCTATGGCCTGCAGCCTGAACGCTTTAGCACATGTTACGACTTTCTGTCGGGCGTACATCAGCTCCGCAGCATCAGGAGTTCTTGTAGCACCTTCCAAACAACATCACATCACGTTAACTTAACTTCAGTGATTCAAAGCACTGTTACTGTGCTGTAAACACAGAATTCAACGTTCAGTTTCCTTCTGGAATGTACATGGAAATATTTAGACACGGTTTTCCTTTTTAAATGTGTTCTCGGCCTCTTAGACTATGCTTATCTCATTAACTCTTTTTTCATCATGTTCCAGGAGGAAGCCTCAAACACACACCAGAGTTTTTATAGCTCATTTTGCAGACTAAAAATGTGTATAAATGAAATAAATTGTAGACCCTTTTTATCAGAAGCCATAGATATTTTAACCTTATCACGAATATTTATAATTCAGATAGTATGTACCACCCTGTCAAGTTTAAAGGAACAGCTGAAAAGTATACTTTATTGGGTTTTAGCTGCTTACTGTTCAACCTTATCTTGTTATTAGTAATATTTCTAACTGTAGTATATTATCACACCTTGTAATCAAATCTTTTATTGGACTTACGGGGTCTATTGAATTGAAAAAAAAAAAAATATGTAAAGATTCACAAAAATATTTACCAATATCTGCACAAAAATCGTCCGACCCGAAGACGACTCCTGCTAGATTGAAGAGTCCCTCTGAGTTTGTCAGTTCTATTGTCTTCCTGAGGATTTCGGTGAGATTGATAAGACCTATTGCACTCTCCACAAACGTTATCAGCTGTAACTTCTGTTCCTGTGTCCGGCCCTTTAGTGATTCCTTCAAATTGTCTGTAAACTGAAGCACAGTCAAATATCATATCTAATTTATAGTATAGTCATTCTAAATATTTCAGCAAAACATCAATGTTTGAGATGAAAATGGATATTTATCAACCCCAAGACAACAACACTTTATAATTAATAAGACTCAATTAATGCAATTTTTACTGTAAAGTACAATTTTACATGTTATATTCAAATATAACAAAAGCGAGCTTAATCCTGATGTGTCAACATCCTTGATTAACTCATTCACCCCTGAAATTCTGTAATGAACTATTCCAATCTTTGAATTGGATGAGTTCAAATGTGTCTTCAGGCTGTATATATATAGCTAGGGGTGATTAAGTTAAGGAAATACAAGTAAACAAGGGAAGTAACTCTGTTAGCCTTTTACGGTTAATGGGTGGAGCTGTTGTAACTACTATCAGTAGTGTTAATGCAAGAATGCTGTATGCCAATTAAATACTAATATCAGACAGTTTCCAATCAGTCTTGAATAATTTAAAGTTTTAGCATTAAACAAGAAACTACAGAAGTAAACCGATTTATTTTTAAAACTTATTTTACAACAATTTTTTATTGTTGGTTGTTGGGTTAAAATGTGAGTATACTGGAGTAATTAGCGAATCAAACACTAGCTAGCCATCTTTGATAAAGGAGAGTGTGTTATTCACTGTGCAACCCATCCATCATTTTAATGGTTATATTCGTAATAAAGAAATTAAGAGGAAAGTATAACTTTTCAAAGCCTGAATACTGTATAAAAGTGGCGGGACTCTTTCTCTTAACTTAAAATCAACATATTCCATGTTTATCAAGATGGTCAACTAATATCAGGTTTGTTACAGAGCACTGTCCAATGGAATACCTTGAACAGTAAGAAAATGTGATGACACGAATACCAATATTTGTTTTGGAGAATTTCCTGAAACTTAAAATTGATAGAAGTCCCACATAATGATTTTAAGAACAAAACCAATTCCTCTCGTTAAAATGTAATTTGATTATTGATTGTCTTCAGGAAACTTCATAGTCTACATTTGTAATATACTTGTAAACGAAACTGCATATAATATGTTTTATCCTGGCTTACTAAAAAACATAATCCAGTAAATGTGTTTTTCTGTTACAAAAACATGTATACAATCAGAAAAATACGAACAAATTAGAACTCTTCTTTGTTGTAAGATACAACTCAGCATCGGTACCCTCTAACTCAGTGTATGCTTGAACTTTGACCCGTAGGTGCATCAGTTCAGATTGTTGCCTAATACGTAATACCTATAGGAGCACTTGACTTTGGTGTAACAAAAGCTTTGGATCAGGTGAAATTTTTGGACTGACCCTAGGTTATATCTCAATTCTTACCTGGTACATTTCCTCTGGTCTGTTCACCTTGGGAAGCATGATGGTCTGAGGCATGCGGTCAGCCCTGAATATGACCTTGAGGTCATCCTCTATCAAACCACTGTCCACAGAATTGACCCTGACCACACACTCTGTCCGACCAAAGTCCAGTTTGTCCAGCATCTTCTTAATGGTGTTCCGAGCTTCCTCCTGTATATCAAAACAAGTTCATTACCATCTTTTGTCATGATAGATATATCTTGAAATGAAGAAATTTATTAAAAGCAAAAGAGCTAAACGAATGTAATTGCAAGATGTCTGGAATATGCTGAATGTACATACATGGATGTAGAAATTACACAAACTATGACAAGCAGAAAAGACCATATGCTATTGTAGACAACTGTTCCCTAATGATAAGGTACATGACAGTATTCATCAACCCAGATAGTTCATTTTACATGTCATTTCACCCCATCTATTGACATCGAGTCTTATTGGAATATATTCAGTCACATTAATTTTTTTTTTTAATTCAAAAGAAACCCAAGGTCAAAGTTAATTCATGAACAACTGTATTAATCAGATATAAGTTTTTAACAAAATTTAATTCAGTAATATATGCTGTATATGATCGATCATAACAACTTTATACTTGCCTCATCTGTATTTTCAGCAGTTTTATTTCAAACATATTAAATTCGCTATGTGTTGACTTTGTTTTCCTATTTACGCTTTTACTTAATTGCTATAAATACATATGTACATAATGTATCTGACAGCAAGATTAAGTAAAGAATTGTCCTACCAAAACCATTCTACAGATACAAGCTACCTATCCCTTTTACATACCTTCTGACTTAAAATAAGTGTCTATCAATTATGGTGTTTTTTTTAGTATTTCGGAATGTCTTAAATATTTATTTTCCAATATTGCTATGTAGGGTTCTTATAAGGTCAGCTACAGACCATGGTACAATATATTTCTTTTTCAAGGGCACGAAGGCAAAACCTTAAATAAGGAATGTATTTTTAGTGAATTATTTGACCGCTAAACTTTCAGCCTTAAATTCAGTTTCATAGTTTTTTATACCCCTGCTTTGACGAAGTGTGGCATCCTAAATGGATGTCTGACTGTGAACTTAATTTGACTATTGGCCTTGACCTCAAACGCTGTAGATATGTGGGGAGTGGGGTTTCTGTGAATCCCAGGCTTCAAGTTAAATCTGGGTTTTTTTAGGTGTTTTTTTAATAATCGGTTCAGCCTAGTATATTAACTTTAATGATTGTATCGAACCTTTCTATTGATGGCCACACCATCCTCACAGTCCATCACAGCACAGTCCACGTTTAAACCAGCAATCTTTTGTAGTTTCCGCTCATCATTTCCCGGAACATACAGCACTGCTCTACGAGGGGTGTATTTATCAGTGGGCAGTGTATCTGTACAACTGGAGAGTTGTCTCCCTTGGCCTATGGGGTGTTCATGCTGGCGCCAGCCAAGTGTCTTAATTTGGCCGCAGGACATGCAACGAGTATAACATTTTTGTAGACGTCTTGTCAATGTCAACATCCTTTTAAAATTAAGTGTCCCCTTCATTATTTGTATCAGTCTGTTACACAGCTGCTATAATGACCTGTAAATATATAAACAGCTAGATTATAAGTAAAGAATTGCCCTAACAAGTTGACTACGATAAACCATTGGAATTATAATAACAGTCAGAAAACCTGTGATCTTCTTAACATTTTAGATTGAATTCACAAGACCCATTAGAAAAATTGAGGAATATTGAAACCATATACATACACACATTGTATTATACATTAATTCTGAGAACGCATAAATCTCCCCGTGGAAATTAAAGTTGGCAGGTATGCATTGGGATGTCATGGGGCCAACAAGATATGGAGTACAGTATAACAGAGGCTGACAAAGCTTGGGATGTCATGGGGGCCAACAAGATATATGGAGTATAACAGAGGCTGACAAAGCTTGGGCTGTCATGGGGGCCAACAAGATATGGAGTATAACAGGGGCTGACAAAGCTTGGGATGTCATGGGGGCCAACAAGATATGGAGTATAATATAGGCTGACAAAGCTTGGGATGTCATGGGGGCCAAAAAGATATGGAGTATAACAGAGGCTGACAAAGCTAGGAATGTCATGGGGGCCAACAAGATATGGAGTATAACAGAGGCTGACAAAGCTTGGAATGTCATGGGGGCCAACAAGATATGGAGTATAATAGAGGCTGACAAAGCTTGGGATGTCAGGGGGGCCAACAAGATATATGGAGTATAACAGAGGCTGACAAAGCTTGGGATGTCATGGGGGCCAACAAGATATGGAGTATAACAGAGGCTGACAAAGCTTGGGATGTCATATGGGGCCAACAAGATATGGAGTATAACAGAGGCTGACAAAGCTTGGAATGTCATGGGGGCCAACAAGACTGGGGGGTATCACATTAGGGCAAACAATATTGGAGGATGTCATTAGGGGCTAACAAGTCTGGTGGAGCAAACAAGCTTAAGACTTCGGAGAGGTCATACTCACTGGGCTACCAAACCAGGATATTGAATGTCATCATATGGCCCAGGGGCTAACAGTGAGGCCTGGCAGGAACATCATAAGGTGGTCAGTTAGGTCGTTTCGCCCTAAATCCTGTACGCCCACGGTTGTTTCGCAATTAAACTTGTTTTACCTAAAAATATTTTAAGGTTGAATTTAAGTCCTGTATAGTTGTGCATGTATGGCTAAAATTATTATAGTCTAATTTGATGTTTTTTCTAGCTAGGTCTCCCTCAGCTTTTTTTTAATTATAAGACTCGTTTAAGATTTGTATATGGTCGACCAGATCTATAGATCTGCACATACAATGTACATGATATGTAGCATGACATTGCAAGACATTGCTTGTGAAACTAGGGACTTAGATCTATAATTATGTGGTGAAACATGAAAATTAAGTAATTCTTTTTAATAATAAAAAAATATTTCAACTGATATTCATCGAAACAAACCGTAGTGTGAACGGGATTTTGGGCGAAACAAGACTACATAGGTCAGAGCTGTATCAATTAAATCCGCATTAAAGCCATTTTGGTCTCTGTGGAGATAGATAGCAAATAGAAATATAAACTTGTAGCTGAACTAAAGGGGGCCGACCGCTGCAGGTAGCTCAATCTCAAATAGAGTTTGGAGGTTCCATGTTCTAATCCAGACCTGAACGTACTTTATTCTCTCCAGTTACAAACTGTACTGGTAACTAGTTTATATATATTTGTAGCAATACATATCCGTCTTATCTCATTGGAGGTGATCACCGTGTCAAACCTATGGCCGAAACTTATAATGGTAGGCGAACCGTCACAGTTCAGTCTAGGACGAATGACACATACCTTTACGCTAAATAAAGATTACGTCGTCTATTCCTTACAGCTGTTTTAACAGAGAAATAACAAATAGTTGACACCTCAAAGCCAGCAACAATGTCCAGAGGTAGGCTATCGGATCTTCTTCATAATAATGTTGTGATAGATGGCGCTTATATTATCTTCCGGAAGTTAATTTCTATGTTTGATCACGTGACAATGTATTTTTAATAGCTCGACGGCAGGAGAGGAGATGTTGGTTTCGTTCTGTCAAAAATGCACCACTGCAGTCAAATAAGAAAATGTTGAGGTAGGTGCATTATACACGCAGAATAGAACCCTGTTTTAAAGTGCCAGTGCCACAATTACTGCCTGTTTCGACCGCCATCTGGGTCCAAACTTTGAGATGACAGATGCTGGAATTGGGATGAATCAGCATCCATGTTTCGTCTGCACCAGGTATCTCGCCGGTAATCTTGTCAGATTATTATTTCCACTGCAAATTATGCCATTTCATCAGCTTAGATTATGTTGACGATGCAGATTATTATATTGTATCAGTGTTTATTTATATTTTATTGGGATATCGAAACAGATGAATCATCTACAATTTTCTTCGAAGGGCAAATTATGCCATTTCTGGTCATAGCAAATATAATCTTGTTGTCGAAACAGCAATTTACGGTGTATGGACGTTGGGATATATTGCTTTAAATGNTTCACCATTTCCCTCAATTTTTCCCCACCTTAAAAAAAACCCTGGAAATTTGGAAACCCCCCAGATAGGTTTCTGGATCCGCCACTGAATGTAAACGAAATATCATCTTGGAAACGAATTGTAATCTTTGTGTTTTCAACACTTTCACTTTAAGTACATGCATGGAATTATGATATGTATACCTATATAGCTATCAATACATACATAATCTTGCATAATGTGTCTTAATTATGTATCACTGACATGGTCACCTGTTTACTTATAATGTTTTGTAAATAACACTTTTTATGTCTTGGTAATATTAAATGAAAGTGAAAATGTTATAATTTATTATGTTAAACATCCCATACATGTATATAAACTGGACACTGGTCGATCATCGGCCCAGGTAATACAATCAATTATAGTATCCGTGTGAGTTCGAAGGTCCTGGGTTTGAATTCATTCTGTCCATCACATTTTCTCTTTCCTGTTTGGATTTGGTGCCCTACGATAAATATACCCATAGATCTAGAATTAAGGTAGATAAGGGTCGATCTTCTGTGTCTTCAATTTCAAAAACTTTGTTGAAAAGTGAGGAATAATACATAGCAGAACTAAAAGGGGTCAATCGCTTATGTCCATGAAGGGGACTCAATTGGTTAATTAAGGCATCCGTCTAGAGTTCAGATGTCCTGGGTTCGAATCCTTGTCTGGTCGTTGCATTTTTCTTTTCCTCTACATGTTCTGACTCGCAAATTTTTAACGGACTGCTGTCATCTTTTAAGTAATTACCTTCATTGATAAACTCGGATGCTTTTAATGTAGGTGTGTTTTAATTTACAGTCGTTACCATAGCTGTCATCCCTCCCTCATAAGGAGGGAGACTCCCTCATGTTAACCAGTTTTTACTGTTCTCCCTCGATATACTCCCTCATTCAAGTCCAAAATCACACAAACTCAAAATCTACATCCTGTGGTCAAATGATCTCCTAGTTACTGCAGGGGGTATGTAACATTTGATCATAACAGGTGTGTCTGAATCAAGTGAATGCTTTATGGAGTTATTATGATACATAAAAAGGGAAAGATAAATTGAGCAGAGCAGTTTCAGTCACATTTCACGCACTTTCTCCCTCATTGGAAATGTGGAATCAGGGAGATCTCCCTCATTGGAAATGTGGAATGAGGGAGATCTCCCTCATTGGAAATGTGGAATGAGGGACAGATCTTCCTCATTGGAGGTTTCAGAGGTTGACACCTATGCACTAACATACACTCACTATCAGATAAATTCAGCTGAACAGGGTTGATCACAGCTGATCTGACCTTGTATCAGATACATTGAAGAGAGACCTTTAAGAATTCGGTTGTCCTATTAATACCATTTTTTGAAACCTGGTCAGAGTGACTCTTTGTAACGGGTCTATCATTGTCAGTGACCAGGTATAAGCTGATTAAAATGGAGTTTTTGTCTGGAGTTCGGTTTCGAATCCCGAACTGACCCAATTTTTACCTCTTGCTATAGTTATGCCTACATGTATATTTGTAGCCAGAGTAGCTACCCCCTTTTTTCCTCGTACATTGTGGATACCCGAACCTTCATTGCATTATTGTTGTCTTTGGGACATACAAGGGTTACAGTATTATGTAGTGGGACTGGGCCTGATAAAGTATACCTCCTGACTAGTGATGGGCTGATGATGGATTATGTAATCAAAAATTGATTGATTTGTCCTTTCAGATTCCGATTATCGATTACAAATTCCATAATCGATATAATCTGTTCATCATTGAAATCAAAATACTTAAATGTCTTCCATGTAATTAATAAATATGCTTTGAAAGTCAAATATTCTTATGGTTTATAAATATATACTACAGTGTATATGATTGATAAAAATGCATAAAAATTGCTTGATAACCATTCATTATAAAAGAACAAAACCTAATGTATAGTGAACAACTCTGTCTATTGATGTAACAGTAGTGTTCTCACTTTATTTTGGTATTCAGTCCCATAAACTTAAAAACCGATCATGAAATCGATCATCGATCGGTTTACTACATCCGATTACAAACCGATTATCGATTTTGATTTTAAACCGATTGCCCATCACTGCCTCTGACCGGTTTAGACCGATTGCCCATCACTGCCTCTAACCGGTTTAGACCGATTGCCCATCACTGCCTCTGACCGGAACCAGAAAGCTTAGTCAGTTAGAATGTCCATCTGGGTCAGAATTCCAGAGTTAGACTGTTGCATTGTATTTTAATGTCTTCTCCATACAAATAAATAGAATCAGGCAGTCACTGTAGATGGGAAATGTACATGCTTATTTCATGTGTGTTGCTTTGATCTGTTCCTGCAGCGCTTCACTTAGGGGTCAGACTGCAGTTTGTGTGCTGACTCATCATGCAATGGTTGTGTGAAGTATGTGACTTTATATAAAATAGAATTGTTGGTTGCAATAGGTTCAATTCTAATGAAAGAATAGTGCTTAGCATTGTGATAATATCAATTTGAATTGAAAATATTAAATATAGTGTTTATGATATTCCAAGGTCATACCTGTATACATGTACACTATCTGATGAACTGCTGACATGGTGCCTTAATTTGTATATAACTGTCTGTTTCCAGGTTTTAATGTTATCTGTTTTAGGTGTATTTTGGTCGGGTTGGGTAAATTGATTAACAGCACTTGTTGATAATCAGTAACAGGTTTTCTCTCTTGTCTCTACCAATGATCTTATCTCATTCCAGTGATCTCATACAGGTGACATCCTCTCATACTGGTGACTTCATCTCTTACTGGTGACATCATCTCATACGGGTGACCTCATCTCATACTGGTGACCTCATCTCATACTGGTGACATCCTGTCATACGGGTGACCTCATCTCATACTGGTGACCTCATCTCATACTGGTGAATTCATCTCATATTGGTGACCTCATCTCATACTGGTGACCTCCTCTCATACTGGTGACCTCATCTCATACAGGTGACATCCTCTCATACTGGTGACATCCTCTCATACTGGTGACCTCATCTCATACTGGTGACCTCATCTCATACTGGTGACTTCATCTCATACTGGTGACTTCATCTCATATTGGTGACCTCATCTCATACTGGTGACCTCCTCTCATACTGGTGACCTCATCTCATACAGGTGACATCCTCTCATACTGGTGACATCCTCTCATACTGGTGACCTCATCTCATACTGGTGACCTCATCTCATACTGGTGACTTCATCTCATATTGGTGACTTCATCTCATACTGGTGACCTCATCTCATACTGGTGACTTCATCTCATACTGGTGACTTCATCTCATACTGGTGACCTCATCTCATACTGGTGACCTCATCTCATACTGGTGACTTCATCTCATACTGGTGACTTCATCTCATACTGGTGACCTCATCTCATACTGGTGACCTCATCTCATACTGGTGACTTCATCTCATACTGGTGACCTCATCTCATACTGGTGACCTCATCTCATACTGGTGACTTCATCTCATACTGGTGACCTCATCTCATACTGGTGACCTCATCTCATACTGGTGACTTCATCTCATACTGGTGACCTCATCTCATACTGGTGACCTCATCTCATACTGGTGACTTCATCTCATACTGGTGACCTCATCTCATACTGGTGACCTCATCTCATACTGGTGACTTCATCTCATACTGGTGACCTCATCTCATACTGGTGACCTCATCTCATACTGGTGACTTCATCTCATACTGGTGACCTCATCTCATACTGGTGACCTCATCTCATACTGGTGACTTCATCTCATACTGGTGACCTCATCTCATACTGGTGACCTCATCTCATACTGGTGACTTCATCTCATACTGGTGACCTCATCTCATACTGGTGACCTCATCTCATACTGGTGACTTCATCTCATACTGGTGACCTCATCTCATACTGGTGACCTCATCTCATACTGGTGACTTCATCTCATACTGGTGACCTCATCTCATACTGGTGACCTCATCTCATACTGGTGACTTCATCTCATACTGGTGACCTCATCTCATACTGGTGACCTCATCTCATACTGGTGACTTCATCTCATACTGGTGACCTCATCTCATACTGGTGACCTCATCTCATACTGGTGACTTCATCTCATACTGGTGACCTCATCTCATACTGGTGACCTCATCTCATACTGGTGACTTCATCTCATACTGGTGACCTCATCTCATACTGGTGACCTCATCTCATACTGGTGACTTCATCTCATACTGGTGACTTCATCTCATACTGGTGACCTCATCTCATACTGGTGACCTCATCTCATACTGGTGACTTCATCTCATACTGGTGACTTCATCTCATACTGGTGACCTCATCTCATACTGGTGACCTCATCTCATACTGGTGACTTCATCTCATACTGGTGACTTCATCTCATACTGGTGACCTCATCTCATACTGGTGACCTCATCTCATACTGGTGACTTCATCTCATACTGGTGACTTCATCTCATACTGGTGACCTCATCTCATACTGGTGACCTCATCTCATACTGGTGACTTCATCTCATACTGGTGACTTCATCTCATACTGGTGACCTCATCTCATACTGGTGACCTCATCTCATACTGGTGACTTCATCTCATACTGGTGACTTCATCTCATACTGGTGACCTCATCTCATACTGGTGACCTCATCTCATACTGGTGACTTCATCTCATACTGGTGACTTCATCTCATACTGGTGACCTCATCTCATACTGGTGACCTCATCTCATACTGGTGACTTCATCTCATACTGGTGACTTCATCTCATACTGGTGACCTCATCTCATACTGGTGACCTCATCTCATACTGGTGACTTCATCTCATACTGGTGACTTCATCTCATACTGGTGACCTCATCTCATACTGGTGACCTCATCTCATACTGGTGACTTCATCTCATACTGGTGACTTCATCTCATACTGGTGACCTCATCTCATACTGGTGACCTCATCTCATACTGGTGACTTCATCTCATACTGGTGACTTCATCTCATACTGGTGACCTCATCTCATACTGGTGACCTCATCTCATACTGGTGACTTCATCTCATACTGGTGACTTCATCTCATACTGGTGACCTCATCTCATACTGGTGACCTCATCTCATACTGGTGACTTCATCTCATACTGGTGACTTCATCTCATACTGGTGACTTCATCTCATACTGGTGACCTCATCTCATACTGGTGACCTCATCTCATACTGGTGACTTCATCTCATACTGGTGACTTCATCTCATACTGGTGACCTCATCTCATACTGGTGACCTCATCTCATACTGGTGACTTCATCTCATACTGGTGACTTCATCTCATACTGGTGACCTCATCTCATACTGGTGACCTCATCTCATACTGGTGACTTCATCTCATACTGGTGACTTCATCTCATACTGGTGACCTCATCTCATACTGGTGACCTCATCTCATACTGGTGACTTCATCTCATACTGGTGACTTCATCTCATACTGGTGACCTCATCTCATACTGGTGACCTCATCTCATACTGGTGACTTCATCTCATACTGGTGACTTCATCTCATACTGGTGACCTCATCTCATACTGGTGACCTCATCTCATACTGGTGACTTCATCTCATACTGGTGACTTCATCTCATACTGGTGACTTCATCTCATACTGGTGACCTCATCTCATACTGGTGACCTCATCTCATACTGGTGACTTCATCTCATACTGGTGACTTCATCTCATACTGGTGACCTCATCTCATACTGGTGACCTCATCTCATACTGGTGACTTCATCTCATACTGGTGACTTCATCTCATACTGGTGACCTCATCTCATACTGGTGACCTCATCTCATACTGGTGACTTCATCTCATACTGGTGACTTCATCTCATACTGGTGACCTCATCTCATACTGGTGACCTCATCTCATACTGGTGACTTCATCTCATACTGGTGACTTCATCTCATACTGGTGACCTCATCTCATACTGGTGACCTCATCTCATACTGGTGACTTCATCTCATACTGGTGACTTCATCTCATACTGGTGACCTCATCTCATACTGGTGACCTCATCTCATACTGGTGACTTCATCTCATACTGGTGACTTCATCTCATACTGGTGACCTCATCTCATACTGGTGACCTCATCTCATACTGGTGACTTCATCTCATACTGGTGACTTCATCTCATACTGGTGACCTCATCTCATACTGGTGACCTCATCTCATACTGGTGACTTCATCTCATACTGGTGACTTCATCTCATACTGGTGACCTCATCTCATACTGGTGACCTCATCTCATACTGGTGACTTCATCTCATACTGGTGACTTCATCTCATACTGGTGACCTCATCTCATACTGGTGACCTCATCTCATACTGGTGACTTCATCTCATACTGGTGACTTCATCTCATACTGGTGACCTCATCTCATACTGGTGACCTCATCTCATACTGGTGACTTCATCTCATACTGGTGACTTCATCTCATACTGGTGACCTCATCTCATACTGGTGACCTCATCTCATACTGGTGACTTCATCTCATACTGGTGACTTCATCTCATACTGGTGACCTCATCTCATACTGGTGACCTCATCTCATACTGGTGACTTCATCTCATACTGGTGACTTCATCTCATACTGGTGACCTCATCTCATACTGGTGACCTCATCTCATACTGGTGACTTCATCTCATACTGGTGACTTCATCTCATACTGGTGACCTCATCTCATACTGGTGACCTCATCTCATACTGGTGACTTCATCTCATACTGGTGACTTCATCTCATACTGGTGACCTCATCTCATACTGGTGACCTCATCTCATACTGGTGACTTCATCTCATACTGGTGACTTCATCTCATACTGGTGACTTCATCTCATACTGGTGACCTCATCTCATACTGGTGACCTCATCTCATACTGGTGACTTCATCTCATACTGGTGACTTCATCTCATACTGGTGACCTCATCTCATACTGGTGACCTCATCTCATACTGGTGACTTCATCTCATACTGGTGACTTCATCTCATACTGGTGACCTCATCTCATACTGGTGACCTCATCTCATACTGGTGACTTCATCTCATACTGGTGACTTCATCTCATACTGGTGACCTCATCTCATACTGGTGACCTCATCTCATACTGGTGACTTCATCTCATACTGGTGACCTCATCTCATACTGGTGACCTCATCTCATACTAGTGACATCCTCTCATACTGGTGACCTCATCTCATACTGGTGACCTCACCTCATCTCATACTGGTGACCTCATCTCATACTGGTGACATCCTTTCATACTGGTGACTTCATCTCATACCGGTGACATCCTCTCATACTTGTGACCTCATCTCATACTGGTGACCCAATCTCATAGTGGTGACATCATCTCATACTGGTGACATCCTCTCATACTGGTGACCTCATCTCATACTGGGGACATCCTTTCATACTGGTGACTTCATCTCATACTGGTGACCTCATCTCATACTGGTGACCTCATCTCATACTGGTGACCTCATCTCATATTGGTGACATACTATCATACAGGTGACATCCTCTCATACTTGTGACCTCATCTCATATTGGTGACCTAATCTCATACTGGTGACCTGATCTCATACGGGTGACATCCTCTCATACTGGTGACCTCATCTCTTACTGGTGACCTCATATCATATGTGTGACCTCATCTCATGCTGGTGACCTCATCTCATACTGGTGACCTCATCTCATACTGGTGACCTCATCTCATACTGGTGACTTCATCTCATACTGGTGACCTCATCTCATACTTGTGACCTCATCTCATGCTGGTGACCTCATCTCATACTGGTGACCTCATCTCATACTGGTGACCTCATCTCATACTTGTGACCTCATCTTATCTCCTTAGATATTTTCATTTCACATAGGTATAATCCTTTTTCATCTGATACAGGTGACCTCATTAGGTGATCTTATAATGATGTCCCATAAATGTGATCTCATCGGTAATCCCAATGATCATAGAGTTTTTTTCATCTTGAGCTCTTGAATATCCTGTACAAATTGTCTTAAACATTTTACTGCATTATTTATAAAATGAATCTTTTTTTTTGTAGGAGGATGCTGACCTCAGCACATCATTGCGCTGGTCGTTGAGAGCTGACCGTGGTCAGTTAGAACTGACCGTGACTTTGTGAGTCCTGTTACTGCTGTCATCATGTTGAAGGATATTATCATTCAGAAACTGCAGCAGTACATTGGGAAATATGTGGAGAACATTGACCCTGAGAAACTCAACTACAGCATCTTAAAGGGTGAGGTCACACTGGGGTCACAGTTAACGTTATAAACTACTTTATATATATTGAATTGGGGTTTGTGTAGAATTTGTTCCCTTACAACTCGTGGTTCAGGTTATAAAGTGTTATCCATAAATGTATTCTTGTTAAATCTTTCAATGGTGATAAAGTCACAATNATACAAGACCGGAACCTGAAAGTGTATTTTCCCTCGTTTTTACAATAATAATATTGTCATACACACAACATTATAATAACTTATATAGACCCGCACACGTTCGCTGTTCCACTTTCAGCGTACCATTTGCGTAGCATTTCCGTACCGTTTGTGTAGCACTTGCGTATCACTTGCGTAGCATTTCCGTAGTACTTCCGTACCATTACCGTAGCATTTCCGTAGCATTTGCGTAGCGTTTCCGTAGCACTTCCGTATCGTTTCCGTAGCATTTGCGTCTACATCTTTCCATTTAAAAAGCGTTTGTGAAACGTTCAGTCGAAAATTTTACGGAATATATATTTTTCGAAACGAATTGTAAAAAAA